TTACAGCAGCATCCACTTCATGGTACCAAAATCTGTATGTCAGTGTTGTACCAGAGAAATGGAGCCAGTAGGCGATTCCTACATCTGTATCTGGGACTGTTACGTCAGAATTTCAGTTCATCTTGAAACCAAGTTCTGTCTCCTCTCTGGGTGTGCTGCACGCTGGGACAGTGTACGGCCAGAAGAGCAGTCACGTCAGCCACCATCTGTTGTCCGACACTGTGCTTTTGTGTTGCGTTTGTTACCTACGTCCTTAGCAAGGAAAGGGTCATCTCCATTTCAGATCAGAAAACCTCAGCCCAGGAAGAGTCATTGCTTTTCCAAGGTCACACATGGCTGCGTCTGAGTTCTGGTGCAGCTCTGTTGGATTTGCATGTCAGCTTCTCTTCATGACACCACTCTCCTAGTTGGTCACCTTCTCACTGACCTTTCTGGTCACTGGTTTCTTAGGTGACAGAGCATCCTTCCCTAAACGCTCTCTTACAAAGCTTGCAGAGATCCGCGCCGCCCCCCCCCCTGCCCACATGCATGTGTTCTGTTTTTATCTGTTGGTCTGGAGTGGTGTCAGGCCCATGCCCATCGAAGGTCAGAAAGGAAGCTTTTCTCATAAAGATTATCAGCTCTTACCCATGTTTAGGTAATATTAAATAATTTTTTCATTCTGTCCATAATTGCAGTGTGTACAGTGTCATTTTCATAGGGACACAATATAATTTTCTTAAAAAACAGTGTAATAGAAACTTTTTCCTCATTAGCCTTTATTCATTTTACTTATAATGAATTTTTTGTTTGTTTTACTAGGATACAATATCGCAGAAATCTGTAGATATTCATGATTCTGTTCAGCCGAGATCTGCAGATAATAGACAGCAAGCTCCATTGGCTTCTGTCTCCGCTGTGAGTGAAGAAGTCAGCAAGATCAAACCCACAGCAAGTGAGTTATTCTCTTAATAAAAATAGTGTGTTTTGTTCTGTGTAGGCAGGGTGTGAGATTCGTGCTTCTGCCTTTACCAGCAGACGTGCTGTAGTCGGTTGTGTGGTCGCTTTGTTACTACACTTGCTCCAGCTCGGGCGTCCCCTGATAGACGCTCCCCTGGGCATGCTCGGGGACTCGGCCAGCACCTGCAGGACCAGCTTTCTCTGCCGTGCTTTCATGCGGGGTTGGTACACGCACATGGGTCTTCCTCAGCATCCCCTTCTGCCTGCGGGTCCCGTGTTCAGCTAAAGTGGGACCTGACATGCCTTCCTCCTGGGCTTCCTGAGGGGCCAGCCTTCCCTGCCCTCTGCCGCCCCGACCCAGGTCTCCTCTGCGCCTCCCTCGCCTGCATTCAGCTCTTCTCGCAAAGGGGAATTCCTTCTGTTTTTTTTTTTACTAACTTGGTTCAATTTCATTTACTGAAGGAAAGTTGTAACAGAGAAAAGAACAAAAGTAACTTTTTATAAAGTGAACAATTCAGTGGCATTTAGTACACTTATAGTGTGTGCAGTCACTGCCTCTATCTAGTTCTAAAACAGTCTTACACCCCAGAGAACCCCTGTAACCATTCTGTAACCATCATGCTGTCGCCCTGGTTCTCCCCTTCCCTGGCCGCTGGCAGCCACAGACCTGCTCTTTGTCTGCAGATTTGCATATTCTGCTCATTTCGTATAAACAGAATCACACAGTGTGGCTTTTTGTGTTTGGCTTTTATTTAGCGTAATATTTTCAAGGTCCATCCACGTTGTAAAGTGGATCAGTGGTTCCTACATTCCTTTTGGTAGCTGACTGTCCCTGGGGTGGATGTGCTGCATTCTGTTTATCCTATACCCGGCTGATGGACATTGGGTTTGTTGCACCTTTTAGTTAGAATGAGTACTGCTGCTTTGAATGTCTGTGTACAAGTATTATTTAACTACCTGTTTCTAATTCTTCTGGTTACATACCTAGAGTAAAATTGCTGGGTCATTTGATAATTCTATGCCTAACATTTTGAGGAATCCCTGAAATGTGTTCCACAGTGGCTGTGCCATTTTATATTCCCACCAGCAATTTCAGTTTTTTCACATCATTACAAACATTTCTTTTTTCCTTCCCCTCCTCCCCGCCCCTCTAATAGGCATCCTAGTGGGTGTAAAGTGTTCTCTCATTGTGGTTTTACTCTGTATTTCCCTAATGATTAATGATGTTGAATATTTTTTCTTTCTCATGTTATTGGCCATTTGTATATCTTTGGAGAAATATCGATTCATGTCCTTTGCTCATTTTTAATTGGATTTTTTGTTGTTGTTGAATTAGAAGAGTTTGTTACATACTCTGGATGCTACACCCATGTCACATACATGATTTGCAAATTTTTATTTTCTCCCATTCTTTAGGTCTTGTCACTTCTTACTGTTAGTGTTTGCTGAGGTACAGAAGGTTTAAATTTTGATGAAGTCTTATTTATCTGTTTTTGTGTTGCTGCTCATGCTTTTGGTGTCCTAGTTAGGAATCCACAGCCAAGTCCGAGGCCAAGAAGGTTTTCTACCCCAGTATTTTCTTCGAAGAGTTTTACGTTTATGGCTCTTATATTGGCCCATTTTCAGTTAGTTTATTTCAGGTAATTTTTGTTAATCTTAGCTGCTTACATTTGTTCTTGAGAGGGGGCAGACGTAGTGTCCTCCTTGAAAGAAGCCTCTGGCTTCAGTCTTAAACTTCTTAAAAGGGAGTTGGGTGGTGATGAGTGGCCCATTTTCATTTTTTATTCCTGTTCTCTGGAGAGCAGCATGGCTCATACAGGAATCCCTAACAGCTTCAGTCTGCACTGGAAAATGCCGTGAGGACATGGCTTTGCTCTCTCTCAGCCCCAAGACCACACTGAAATACACTTTACTTTGAAAGGGAAGGACATGGTCACACATTGTAGAGTTTTCACTTGGTTGATCTGGGAGCATTGCTTTAACTAGAGTGAAGGGAGCTGCTCCCCGCCACCCTGAACCAAGGGCTCAGCTTCCTTCTTCTGCCAGACACCTGCTCCAACCCTGCCAGGTTGTTTAGGGCACGTTCACCGTGTCCCCGTGAGCCCCCACGTGGTGGACAGTTGTGGGTGCTTCTGCTCCGGGAGGAGGCATCCGCCAGGACCTCCTGCTCGGACACCCCCTAGTGCAGGCAGGGCCTTTGGCCCTGTTCCCGGGGGGCAGCCGTCATGTTCCTTCTGCACAGTTTCACCGCTGCTCCAGCGTCTCCTCCAGTGCCTGCTGACCTTCAGAGTTCATCTTCACTTGGCTCTGCTCCCTCTCCTGTGACCGGTGAAATGGTTGCCTGTGTGACCCTTGGCAGTGTCAGCCCTTGTGGACAAATAGATATTGTCCCCTAAACATGCTACTGGTCTTGCCAGTGAGACTGAAGTTAGAACCTCATCCTGCAGTTTCCTCATCGGCCCTCAGCTGCCCGCTGACAGCTCTGACCACCTGAGCAGCGGCCTTTGGAGCTGATGAGATGTGTCTCCTCGGACATCCACCTTCTCCGAGCCCCCGAGTCCGGGTGTGCTGCCCCAGACTCCTGCTCCCGGGGCCGAGAAGTGCTCTTACCACTTGGATGAGGGGGTGCTAAGAGGAGACAGCCATGGGACTTGGGGTGTCTTTTATTCTTTGTCTTTTGACTTGAGGTCTGGTACCAAGCACAGAATACTCAGTGCTGCAGCATTTCTGAAAACTGTCTGGGAAGGAGCCTTTATGAATGACCTAAATAAGAATAAATTTAAGCAAGTTATTTTGCTATCTCCCCCAAATCCCTAAAACATGAATTTCACTCCCAGAAATTGGTGCTGGAAAAGGGAATTTGTAACAGAAGCGAAGTAGGAGAAAACTGAAGGACTGTCAAGTCCGTCACGCGGAGCTGGAGCCGTTGCCTTGAGGCCGCCGAGCAGACAGCTCCCCCCAGGCACCCGCCCCCCAGCAGGCCCGGCACATCCCCCCGGGAGCTGCGGCAGGGCTGCCAGCCCTCCGGGGCTTCAGCGGTTGAGGCGTCTCTCCTAACCTCGATTTCTCCATTTACTTAACCGGATGGCCAGTGAAAGGGAAAGCTCTGTGAAGAAGCAGGTCCTGTCGGCTGCTAGATTCCCAGCCGAGTTGTTGAAGCGCATGTCCCAGCCCCTGCGGTGTGGGAGCACTGGGTCCTTCCCGCTGTCACTCGTATAATCATATGCTCAGTGTGACTTCATAGCCGTCTGTGCTTCTGGGTCCCTTTGGAAATAGAAGGGCCTCTTAGCTACAACTACTAACCTGGGTCCAAATAGAACACGTGCTCTGATTGCCCCCGTGTGGTCCCGTCGGTCAGGGTTCTCGGCTGCCCCTCACTTCCAGCCTCAGGTCGAGTCCCTGTCATCTGTTTCTGGTGTGGGTTTTTCTTTTACCCAGAGTCAGAAGGCAAACTTGGGTTTGTAGTAAATGCTATTAAAGGTGTAGCTTTTACTCCATTTGATCCATTTTATTAAGGAATAACCTAAGTCTTATTTGTAAATTTGTAGTGGATTTTGAACATACTTACTTTTCTAAGTCATTTTGAATGTATTTGTTTACTTAAAAAGTCAATTTTCTAAGGCTTTTCTAAATATGGTTAAGTTAAGCTTTTACCAACTAGTGCTTATGTGCAGAAGCAGGCTGTCCTCAGTGTGAAACGTGCAAGTTGCCTTCATACATGTTAATGTTTCCTTAGCATTGTAATGTCATAGAAATTATAAAGGATTCAAAATAATTTTTGTTTGCATGTGCATTGGGGTGGGTTTCCTCACAGAATTTCCAGAACAAAAATTGTTTGCCGCCCTGTTGATTAAATGTGTTGTGCAGCTGGAACTCATCCAGACTATCGACAACATCGTGTTCTTCCCCGCCACAAGTAAGAAGGAGGACGCGGAAAACTTAGCCGCGGCGCAGGTGAGTGGGCGTGAGGGCAGCTTTCTGTGGAGCAGGGCGTTAGCTCCGCGGTCTGGGCTTCAGAGCAGAGGTCAAGCTAGAGGGTGCATTTGAGGGAATCACCACACAGATGTCATTTTAAACCGTGGAACTGACGGCATGGCCGAGGCGGTGAGTGTGGACAGAGCTGAGGAGAGGGTCAGGGCCGCGCCCTGGGCCCTGTGGTTGATCAGGCAAGTGATAAAGAGTCCGAGGACAAGAATCGGGGTGAGGTGGGGCGGGAGACCGAGGGCATGCGTCCAGCGAGGCAGGTGAAGAAGGTTCTAAGGAGAGGGGTGTGATCCAGTCTGTCAGAAGCTCAGTGGGTCGAGTGAGCAGTTGCCCTAGGGAGTTGCTCTAGCAGTTTGGTGAACTTTAGTTGATCTTGACGTTATGTTTAATTGTAATGTTGATACAAAAGCATTGCTAAAATGGGTACAAGAGAAGAGAAGACATCTGCAGACAGCAGACATCTGTAAGTCTGTCAAAGAGTTCTGCTGTTAAAACAGGGCGCAGAGAAGTGGGCAGTAGCTGAAGGGCTTGAAGGGGCTCAGGAGAAGGGTTTGCTTTGTTTTGTTGGTAAGATGGGCAGCATTGCAGCCTGTTCCCGGGTGAGAGTTCTCCCGGAGAGGAGAAACGGTGCGGACGAGAGGGTGGGGGCTGGAGCAGTCTTCAGGAGCGAATGGCGGTGGAGCCTGGTGCAGCGCCTGGCATGTCGTGCATAGAAGCGCAGCCAGTTCATGAGGGTAACAGGAAGGCCAGCAAATCGAGGGTTGTAAATGTCAGAGGTCAGTCGGCCGGTGGTGGCTGTCAGAGGGAGATCTCTTCTGAGAGTTGCTGCTTTCTCCCTGAGGTAGGAAGCAAAGTCATCCCCCAGGTGAGGCTGGGGAGGAAGCTCTTGATACTTGAGGAGACAAGTGAAAATGTGAGCTGGTCTCCAGGAAAGTGGACCACGGACACATAGGGGGTCGCGGGGCAGCACGCAGAGCCCCTGGACTTAAAGCGAAGACCCCTCTCCCTCCAGGCGTGTGTATTGTGCGGCAGACCCAGAGCAGGCAGTTTGCCAGCCAGTTACCAACAGGAGAGGGGTGGCTTATGCAGGAGAGTGTCCGTCATCACAGTCCATGGGCTCAGACTGGCTAAGAGAAGTGAGGACCTGGGGAGGGCGGGGAGCAGGGAAGTGACGGCGAGAGCCTGAAGGTCCGGTGAGGGCAGAGCTCTGGGAGTCAGAAATTGTGAGGGGGGCTATCGGGAACTAGAGGTGTGGTGCTTGGTTAACTAGGATGCATGGAGTGAAGATTCTGGAAATTAAATAACAAGATGCATTTTTTCTGTTGAGACAGAACGGGTTAAGTTCTATAGTCTTTGGGAGCATGGATTTCTAAATTGACTAACATCTGTGGCTGTGTGTGCATGTGCTGTGGTGGTTTGTTTTCCAAAGAGAGATGCCGTGGACTTTGACGTTCGAGTTGATACTCAAGACCAAGGAATGTATCGCTTTTTAACATCACAACAACTCTTCAAGCTACTGGACTGCTTGTTGGAGTCACACCGATTTGCAAAAGCATTTAACTCCAACAACGAACAGAGGACGGCTCTGTGGAAGGCAGGTAAGCCGTGCGCTGCGCCCTCAGTGCTCGCCATTCGTGGGTGTGCAGCCGGTGTTCACACGATGGGAGTTGACTGCTTGTGTCCCTCTGGTCTCTGTGTGTCACTGTGTTAGCAGAGAGAGAGAGACCCCCAAATCGGAAAGCTCCCCAGGCGTGTGGGCAAATCATGCCCGGTCCCAGCGTGTGGGTTTTGCTCACCAAGAGGGAAAGAATTCTCAGTAGAGGCAGAGGGAGAGAGGAAGCGGCTTTATTTCTTAGCGAGAAGGGAAAAGGGGAACATTCAGGTGGGGAGCTGGTCGAGACAGGTCCAGCCCCGATTGGGCCACAGGGTCTTTATTGGACGGCATTGCCATCGATGTCTTCACTCCAGGGTGCCAGGCATCTCCTGTCACTGGCTCTTTCCTCCCCTGGCACTCAGCCCTAAAACAGAAACTGCGCTTTCCCAGGCAAAAGTTGTTTTTTCTCCCCAGCTTGAAAAGGGAGGAGATTCTAAACATAGAAATGCCCAACTTAGCACCCCTGCGCAGCCGAGTGTGCATTTTCTGTGTGACGCCAGTGCACAGGGCCAGGACGCTCTGGTGTCTCGCAGCAGGTGCCCCGCTGCCCACAGCGTGTGCTCCACGCAGGCTGCCTCCCCGTGAGATGCCTCGTCAGTTAACGCGGACCTTCTCTTTCTGCAGGTTTCAAGGGCAAATCCAAACCCAACCTTCTGAAACAGGAGACCAGCAGCCTGGCTTGCGGGCTGCGCATTCTCTTCCGGATGTACACGGACGAGAGCCGGGCCAGCGCCTGGGAGGAGGTCCAGCAGAGGCTTTTAAAGTAAGGCTCTGGGCTGAGTGTCGGCCTGTGCGGCTGCTCGGTGCGGAGCTGGGAAAGGCCACCGGCTGTGCATCCCGGCCCGGCTGCCCGACCGGGCAGAGGCTGGGGCCCAAGGAAGAGATCGTGAGAATCAAATACAGTCTTACTTACAGACAGACCATGTCCAGTGTTGCTGTTACAGGGGAAAGGAGGAAGTTTTCTGTCTTAAAATTCAAAAACTTTATACTATACTTGTTAGGCTTTTTTCGTGCCATAGATCGCTCTATTTTTGCAAACCCATCCATTTGTGAAAGTGAAAACTTGCCTGCCTGCATTTAGTTTGAAAAAATGTGGAATTCTATTGGTGTTACTTTTTGCACTCCCTTTTTACTTCATGACAGCTTAAGTCTGTCCTTGAAAATTTGAACTTACGCTAAGAAGGAAACATGCCATTCAGAGAGAATAGTAGTATTTGCATTGGATATTTGTGTCGTCTTAGGGGAACAGATGTTCTCAACGGCCAATTAAACTCATTTGAGAGCTTTAAGAGGACACTTGGTCTCTGTTCCCCATGTTACTGGTGAGACTGTTCAGGCCCAGAAGCGCCTCCTTCACATCGCGGGGGGAGGGCCCCGGCTTTCAGCCCGGGTCTCTGGACGCCAAGCTGGTGCGTGTGCCACTGCCCGGGGGCTTCGTGTCACCGGAGCTTCAGAAATGAGAGGCGTGTGGGTTTCCTGATAAGCTGTGATGGCTGCTTTTACTGTGTTTATTTGGAAAACATGTAAGTGTTTATGTTGACACGCTAGTTCATGTAAAAAGATGGTCTAGCAAGTTCCTGATAGTCAGTGCTCTCTGCCCTCCTCGTCTTGGTGGTTCGTCCTCAGTGACCGTCATTCCAACAGGCGCGCGAGCACGTGTAAAAGTGAGCCTCTTCTGTTGCAGTGTCTGCAGTGAAGCACTGAGTTACTTCCTCACCCTGACGTCAGAAAGTCATCGCGAAGCCTGGACTAACTTACTGCTCCTGTTTCTAACTAAAGTTCTGAAGATCAGCGACAACAGGGTAAGTTCAAGGCACTGCGCCCGGCCCGGCGTCCCCAGCCTGATGGGCGTCTGCCCAGGTGGGAGGCAGGGGTGCCGGGTTTCAGAGCCTCCTCTCTCCGCACCCGCCTTGTTCCCCAGTCCGTGGTTCTGGGGGCGGGGGGTCAGGAGGAGGAGTCGGGGTCCTCTAGGGCACCTTGGCAGGCTACTTGGGATCCCCTACAATTTGCAACTGCTGACCTGCCCACCCTCCACCCAGCCTTGAGCTCTGCCCCCAAACGCAGCTGTGTCTGGGCCCCAGGCCTGTGCTCCGGGCCCCGGCCTTTCATTTGGTACATTCAGTGATTGCATGTGACTCAGCCCTCCTAGTGAATGGGCCTTAAGCTCAGTTTAGAATTTTAAACCAGTAAAAAATAAATATAAAATATAAATGTATAGCCGTATATATAAATACATATTTAAAGTCTTCAGAAATACACATTTCACTCTTAAACGTAGCAAGTTATAGCTCGCATAAATGAAAACAGGTGTTACTGTGATTACTGAATAGGTTTTAAAGTGCCTAGTCTGGTGGCCTGACATCGGGCACTTTGGGCCATGGTAGTGATTGGGACCCAGTAGAGGCTGCGTGATGCAGCTTGGTGCCACACAGACACCCGCCCCAAGCCATGTGCTGTGGGTCCCCATGCGTGTCCCTCTGCATGGTGGGCCGGGTAGAGCTTGGAGAAGCAACTAAAGGCACCAGCAGCCAAGGGGCTGGGAAGGACTTCCACCCCAGTCTGCCTCACGCCGCAGTTTGCTTTCGTGCCACGGTTATGGCATGCTGCGTCCTTGCACCTCGTGGGATGTGAAGAACAGAAAAGGAGAGAAAACAGGCAGGCAACGAGGATGCAGAGAATAAGGAGCTACAGCAAAAATACAAAGTATATCAATTGAACTATGAACACGAAAGGTAGTCTTTGCCTGGAGACCTCGTATCTCATATGGCAGTATTTTCCCTAAAAATTAAAATTTCACTTTACAAATAAGAAACACAGTCTCAGTAACATAGCTTATAAAAACTCAACTGTGGTTCCTGCTTGGCTTCTTTGGCGTTACTACCCAGGGGAAAGAACGATAAATACTAAAAGTTCGTCACAAGTTTGTCAAGGAAAGGTAATGGAAAATGTTTTTTGAAATAAGGATAGGTAAGTAGGTGAACAATGCGTGTATTAAGTTTCGTGTGCTTCTCAGTCTTTGAGCGGCATGAGCAGTGATCACTGTGTCCCCAGACACCTCCTGCCTTCACCGTCAGGGCAGTGCCCCGGGTGGGTTGCCTCTAAAGCACTTTGAGGTTCTGGTTTGCAGTGCGAGCACTACTGACAGAGCAATTCGTTTCTCTCCAGTTTAAAGCTCATGCATCATTCTACTACCCTCTTTTATGTGAAATTATGCAATTTGACTTGATTCCTGAACTTCGTGCTGTTCTTAGAAGATTTTTTCTGCGAATTGGAGTAGTTTTTCAGATATCACAACCACCTGAACAGGAATTTGGAATAAACAAGCAGTGATGGAACTGAGTATTTTTCTTTTGGCGTTTACATCCCTCCGCTCTTTAAAAGAACCCTGGAGCTGAGCTTTCCTACCTGAAAAACGGTTTCTCTGAATGGCAATGTCTAAGGGTTACTGGTAAAGAAGCTTAGAACTTCAGCTCGAACCTGCAATCTCCAGTCCCTTTCGTAACCTGATGGATTCTGTTTGTCGTGTTGGGCTCACGAGCAAAAAGCCTGTTTCCACAGTGTCAGCCCACGTGTCCTTCCCTGTCCTGGGTGCAGGGGGAGCCCCACATATTTTGGCAGGTGTGGAAGTGAAACTTACCCAAAGAACTACAGATGTAAAGATTTGAACTTCTGCAAGAAGTACAACTCAGGAGAGCTGTATTTTGAAGGATAAAATGTTTATACCTGGGGGTTGGGGAGAAGAAATTATTGTTCATGGTAAAAGATATTTAGCAGCTATGGTATTCTTATTCTGAAGATTTTTGCACACTCAGGCTATCTGAGATACTGGTAATCATCCTTCTGTGAAAAATGTACAGAGATGCAGGTCTGTAATATAAAAATCTTAAACATTATATAGTTCTTCCTGCACTGTTTTATTTTATTTCTTTATTTTCTTATTCATTTGCTAAATATCTATAATATTTTGTCAAATGCACTAAACGTTTGGGTTAAACTTTGTCTCTTTTTATTTTGTGGGGATTTTGGTTTTGCCCTTTCTAGAGGGGGTGGCTGTTTTGAGGGTTGAACATGCCCAGAAGCTGTTGTGGCTGACACTTGTCATGATCAACAACAGAAGAGGTGGAAAATGTCCCTGCTGATGTTAACTACCTGTAATATCCTTCTCCTAGGGCTTCTAAAGGTGAGCCATTAAAATAGAATGATCCTTCATGGACCGAAACTTGAATCACTGCAAAATGAATCTAGGTTGCTATCACTTTCTTTTCTTTTGGGTGGCAAGGCTTGATGTAGATTTTACTCTGTGTACAGAATTTAATGTTGAATATATTAAAATAACAAATCTGGCATGGTTTGAGGAGGTTAGATTTACTGGAAATGTATTCATACTGTGAATTGTGCTCTGATGGTTAAAAAAAACGACAAGATTGTCAAGCATTCCGTATAAACAGTGGATGTAGAAAATTTTTTCAGATGGATAAAATGTATATGGTACAGATGTAAAGTTTTCTATGTAAAAAATTCTGTACAACTTTCTGTACAATATTGATTCTCATCTGGCATATTCTAATCAGGTTATAGGTCAATAAAGTTTTTGAATTATTTCATCAGTGCAATCAAAACCTGTGTAATCCACGGCCCCGTGTTTCGTTAATTCTCTTGTTGTTAAAAGCCAGACAGCTAGGTAAAGGATGTTCTCGTCCAGAACTACATGTAAATTCAGTGTTTTTTTAGTTCTGATTTTTTTTCCAGCGGTAAGGCTATGTATTTTGTGGGTTGTGTTAGAAGTGTTCAGTGTTTGCTCTCACACCTTAGACAAGGAGCATTCACCAAACAGAGCATCTGTAAGTGCACCGTATTTATCCCCCCCAAGACACAGCCCTCTTCAAGCCCCGCTGGATGCCAGAGCTGGGAGCCACTGTGACCTTCTGATCTTTCTGAGGGGTAAGTGTTTTCAAAAGACTTGGCGGTTTGTTATTTTATGGTATATCTGGCTCTTTCTAGCAGAGACAGATATCTTCATCTGAGAGTAAGATGAAGCCTCAGAAGAAAACTAAGTGATTAATTACAAAAATTAGCATTAAAACTCACATGCAGCTAAAATTTAAAATATCAGTGAAATTTCACACGAGGTGGACTTATATGATCTTTTGTCCTATTAATCACATCAGTAGAAACGTGCAGCCCAGTGCCTGGGAGTGTTCTGTCGTGGTGCTAAAGATTAAGAATTATTTCCAGGAATTTGAATTAGTCTTTCCTTTTTTAAAGGTGCCTCTTACAGAGTGACTAGAAAGACTTGACTCACTTAATCCACGTGTCCACAGTGGTGCAGCATGGGCTCTGGCCCCTGGCCATGACCCCTGGGTGTCCCTGCCTCTGCTCCACTTCCCGAACACCTTATCTAGTCCACGTAAAATAAGAAACTGATTATTGGTAATAAAAATAATTTATTTCTGTCAGTCAAGAAGTATTTAAGTCATAAATTAGCAAACTTAATGCCTTCGTTGGCACAAAAATTGAGGCAGAAAGATGTGACATTTAGTGCATGGCTCATGGGAATAAAATCACAAACAGTTCCCATCAATCATTTATATTCAAGCAGCCATAAATGACATGGAAGCGCACACGTCTGATTCTCATTACGCAGCAGCTGCGACAGTCACAGCTACAACCAGTACTCCTACTAAGTGAAAAATCACCGAGAACAGTGATAACAGATGAACACAGAACAGTATTCTGGTTTTACAGGACTGTTAAGACACTCGTGTTTTATTCATCTTACCTTACTGACAAGCAGAAGTGAAAATAATGCACATATGGTAGTTGATTCCAAGAGTTCATTACCACCCTAGTTTAGTTTATGGCAAAACTGTGCAAAAATAATTCTATACAATCCTACATCATATAAATTAATAATCATGGCCTTTTATTTATGTACATAATATACATCCTATGCATCATCATGGAAAAAACACACCTTATGTACAGATGGAACTGCCAGGCATGGGCCAATGGTGGCACATACTGTTACGGTTCAGATTTCACATTCCTTTCACCTTAAAAGGCACTACTGGGTCCAGCACAGGTTTATTCAACCATGGGCCGTAGACAGGCCCTGCCAAGTGAAAGTGCCTGGTTTTCCAGGAACCTGCTGCTGCTCCTGCCTCAGCTGCTCCGCCATGAACCGCTTCAGCGTTTCCGAGGTGCCAGGGCGGAGCCAGGGCTCAGTGGCTACAGAGTTTGATCCATCGTCACCCATGTGCTTCATGATGTCGTCAGGGTCAACCAGTGAGCTCTCGTCATCTAAAGGAGGCAAGACAGACGCGACTCAGGTAAGGTGGCGGCAGCAGGTGATGCGAACAGAGGTCTTAGTCTAACCCGTTACAGCGCGGCGTTTCTCCGCAGTACTGGGTTCTGAGCTGTCCTGGTTTGTCCAGACCCCTCCTTTAAGAGGTAGGAAGGCAAACCCCGGAACGGGCCAGTTCGATAAAGCAGGAAACGAGCACCTGAACAAGGTGAGTCCACGGTGCCGGCCCCACAGGGACTGCAGAGGCAGCAGGGAGACGGCGCCCAGTGTCACCGACTGTAGAAGGGGAGGTAGTCTTACCCTGTGTCACCTGAAGGATGCCACGCAAAACTTGTTTTTATTTTAGCAAGGGTTTTGGAAATACTCCCAACTTCTAATACTGCTTTGAGGAAATCAGGTCATTTTAGGAAAGCACTAGACGGGGCGTGAAGTTACCTCCCTCCTTACACCTAGTCTGAAAGCTGGTTGTCTACCCCATTAAGAGGCAGCTCTTACTTGTGTTTCATTCTTTAATTGGCTGTACTCAACATCTATACCTTATTTTACTTATTATTAGATGTAATAGGAAAATCTGTCTTCCTACCCTGTGATGTCAGTTTCTTTCTTTTTTTTTAATTACATCTCCTAGACTGAAGGATTAGCCCAGCAAAGGGACAGTGGTACCAATTTAATGAGCAGTCAATCCACATCGTACCAAAAAGCTCCTGTTTGAAAGGACAATGTAAAAAAAAGAAAAAAGGTTTAGAAGTTGAAAGCCTTCTGGAAAAGATACTTCAAATGCTCTATTTTCTCTCAGTTTAAGTATATCCCTGTTAAATGTTAGTTCACCTATTGGTTCTGAAAGAAATTGAGGAATAGGTAACTCTTAGATTAAAATGCCATTCAGCCAAAAGGAGCACTGCTTTCCCACTGTCCACACTTGTGCAGGTACGATATGACAAGTACTGCTCCCTCAGTGTGCCATGTTCTCTGGCATTTGGTATGAAATTCCCACCGGACTCATGACGTCTTACTGTTAGAGAGTATACGAGAACAGGGTTTAATTAACACAATATTAGGGGAGGCTACAGCCCAGTGGTAGAGCGCATGCTTGGCATACATGAAGTCCTGGGTTCAATCCCCAGTGCCTTCTCTAAAAATAAATAAACCCTAATTCTGCCCCCCCCCAAAAAAGAGAAAGACCCCACAGTATTAAAGGTTAGATACAAAAGTATCTTAAGAAACTGCTATTAGAAAATTACTGTAGCTTAACAGACTACAGAGAACTGTGCAGAGACCACTCTACATTTGCTAAAGCCAGTACCAGGGCTTAACGCTGCCCCACTGCTCCGCTAAGCGGATGACTAACAGCACCGACATGAAGGTGGCCTGCGGCGCAGAGAAGCTCAGTAGCTGCCTAAGGAAGCATCCTGCCGGCCCGAGCTCGGCACTCAAACTACAACCTGCTGTGCGCCAAAGCAGTGAGGCCACGACACCCAACACGATGTGCCGACTACCGACCACTGTGACCTCTCCTGCTGCGAGTCATACAAGGAGAACACTAACCTGAGGCTGTTTCGCTTTATCCATAGTAAAGGAAGCCAAGTAAAAAGGTAAAAAACTTTTCTTTGTAGCACTACAAATTTATAATAGATGTGTAATCTAAAGAACTCAAGGTTTTACAGTTGACTTTTGATAACCCCACTTCAGTAGGGGAAGTGAGACGCCGACACTGATCAGCGTTTTCCCTGCTGCAAGCACAGCCCGGATTTACTTATGGGCAGAAACGTCATCTGTTCAGGGTGTCCCCTCTGGTAGCAAGAATCTGCCGCACAATGAATCCTTCACTCTGGTTTTGCTGGATAGCGGCTATGAAATTCATTTCCTCTGTCCCCCAGCCATCAATGAAAGCCTCCAAGTTCTTAGAGAATTTGCAGTCGGCCAACACACTTGGCCGTTTACCTGTATTAATAGGTTTATTCTGAAGTTCATTCAGTCTTCGCATTCGTTCCTCATTTCTCACTCTAAGCTGATCCACATTTACACTGGATACAGATTTTAAAGAGAGGCCATCTGGTGGTACATTAGGGTGACTGTCATCCTGTAGTTAAGAAAACAACTTCAGAAATTCATTGATATAAAATAAGTTCAGAATAAGCCAGTGAATTGAAACATGTTCTTGCCCTTGATAAATGTACAGTGTGATGAACAAAGGAAACGAAATGTTAGCATTTATACTCTAACTCCTGTTGAGTACACACACAGGCCCAGATGAAGGTACAGGACTTGTGATAACATTAATGTGGCCACACTGGGTAAAGGTAAGGAATTATAAAATACAGAAGGAAAAAAATCCAAACCTTAGGGGATAAGCGTCAGTGACATGCAGAGTTTAAGAAACTGCCCAGAGTTGCTTACCCAGCAAAGGGACATTGTGGGGACATGGAGTAAGGGCGCCAAAGCCGGTGCTCTGTGCAGGCAGAGAGTAAACATTCACCCGTATTCTGAGAAAAGGTCATGGGATCTGAATGCCAGCCCTCCTGTCAGTGTGGCCTTGGGCAAGTTATCTGACCGAAATGGAGCAGATGCCTGCATGATGCGCTTAGGTGACTGAGGCTGTCAGTTGCTTCTTGTGCTTTCTCTGAAATTCACATACTCTGCAGGGGAAAGGAGGGGACTGACACTTACAGCCACCCTGGGAGAGGAGAACGCTACCGCCAAGAAGCTAAGACACCAGAGTCCAATGACCCGCTCATGGTCATCTCGTATCTGGAGGCAGAGCCTGGGTTCAGACCCACGTCCACCTTATTCCAGAGCACGTCCTCTCTTTCCTGGACCACACCAATCGAGCATGGGTCAGAACCCAGACCTCTCATTCCTAACCTCAAAAAAAGAAGAGTGTTTCATACATACAGAGTCCAGTCCTTTCAACTTGCTCCTCCTGCGCTCCCTCGCAGAGGGCAGCTGTGCGGGAGGCAGGAGGG